GTGAGAGTGAGAGTGAGAGTGAGAGTGAGAGTGAGAGTGAGAGTGAGTGAGTGTGAGTGTGAGTGTGAGTGTGAATGTGAGTGTGAGTGTGAGTGTGCGTGCGAGAGTGAGAGTGAGAGTGAGAGTGAGTGTGAGAGTGGAGGTGGGCGCGAGTGTGTGGGTGAGAGTGAGAGTGAGTGTGGGTGAGAGAGCGAGAGTGAGTGAGTGCGAGTGCGAGTGTGAGTGCAAGTGAGAGTGAGTGTGAGAGAGAGTGAGTGTGGGTGAGAGTGAGTGTGCATGGGTGAGTGAGTGTGCGTGTGAGTGTGAGTGCGAGTGTGAGTGAGAGCAAGTGACAGTGAGAGTCTGCGAGTGGGAGAGTGAGTGGGCGTGAGTGTGAGGAGTGTGAGTATGAGTGGGAGTGAGTGAGTGTGAGGGAGTGCGAGCGCACTTCGAGGTTCACAAAGTGCTGCGCCTGCCACGAAATCTGCACTTCGAGGTTCACCATGCAAGTGCTAGCGTTTGCCACGAAATCTGCACTTCGAGGTTCACAAAGTGCTGCACCTGTCACGAAATCTACACTTCGAGGTTCACAAAGTGCTGCGCCTGCCACGAAATCTGCACATCGAGGGTCACAGAGTGCTGTGCCTGCCACGAAATCTGCACATCGAGGGTCAGAGAGGGCTGCGCCTGCCACGAAATCTGCAAACGAGACACATATCCAAAAGTCACGATTCACTGCACCTGTCACGATATCTGAGCTCCTTGACGATCACCACCATGTCCAAAGTGCTGCGCCTGCCACAAAAACTGCATGTCGAAATCAAACACCTCCGGTCCCTTGCACCTGTCACGAAAAGTCGACATTGGAGCACCAAAACACGAGGCTTCCCTTGCGCCTGCCACGAAAAGTGATCACCATGTGCGAAAATGCGCACGGCACCGCAACGACAAGCACACGCTCCAGCCACCCAGATTCTGCGAGCCTGCGCAGTCGAAATGCACATTGACGATGTCGAGAGGCATAATGTACTGTAAATAGCAACGAATTAGCCGGACACACCCGCGACGCACAGCGATCTAAGCACACCTTCCTTTCCCCTACCGTAAGAACCCCTCAGTGTGCCCACACTGTTTGGGGAATAACACAAAATATAACAATATAATATATATATATATATTGTTTGTTATATATTGTTTATATTGCGCGTATCCTATTACCAGTAACAGTGGATGACGATGGTTAGGTTGCAGGCCTCGTTCTAAAATAGCATTTGCTAAATTTGCTTGTTTACTGACTGTTACAGGTAAGTTCGGACAGACCCAAACTATATAATATACACAGGTGTCTCAGAGTGGCGTAAGCAAGCTTGCTTGAGAGCAGAGAGCATGACACGAGAAAAAGTTTGCTTTCTCACATTGCAAGCAGCCGTTTTTGTTATTGTCATTATCATTATATATCGGGATATATCAGGATCAAAGGGCATTTTCAGCGAGGTTTTGAACAATAGGCCTTCTGAAGAGGACTTTGCTTGCTGCGAAAAAGTGAACTTAAAATACGCTGAGAAAGATGCAGTTTCATATCCAAACAAAGCGCTGCAACAAACAATAACAAACATAACGCAGCACTGTAGCAAAAGTCTGAACCCGAGCAAATGGAATACCCTGCTTTCAACAACAGATTGAATTAAGGCACCCCAGTCGCCTTTAGAAGCTCTTATCGTTGAGACCGAGCCAGCATGTCATATCATATGTACTTTGCTTGTGAGGGCCCGGCGTTGCTTCATATCTTTAGCGGGTAACAGCCAAAACAAAACTGATAAGAGAACACTGCCAGGACATGAAACGAAAAGCTTGCTGCTACGAGACGGGCTGCAAGGCTTTTTCCCTCAGGATCCTACAGTGGCTCAGGCTGGAAGACAGGAACCAACCCGACCAAAACTTACAGTAGATCATTCAGCTCAAAGTGTTTTGCGCGTTTGTAACATGCACGCGACCAAGAGACCACCGTTTAGGGATGAAGTTTGTTTGAAATGTGTCTTCCAGTTGGGTAGCACTTTGTTGAAGCGTTGCGCCAGTCTAAGCAAATGTGCAACACAACTGAGGTCGCTCCAATTAGACCTAATTAGCAGCACAGTCAGGAGCAACATCAAA